GCCATGCCCAGATGATGCTTTGACAGTTTCAGTTGCTCAGCCATTTCAAATTTGTCTTGGAGCAGAAGATGCTAAAGACACTGACTCAGATCCTTGTCGTGAAGAAGACAGTGACATGCCCTTGGGTCAGCTAGATTAATGCAATTCATTCAATATGGGACTGCCCTTGAAGATGACCCAGAAATTGCAAATGGCACAAAATGCAGCTACTCACCTATTGGCTTGCATTAATCAATTCAGTTGAATAATCTCTACTTTGGAGAGGATATATTCGTATAGTGCTTAGATTTATATACCACTTCATAGTGTTTTCCAGCCCTCTCTAAGTAGTTTACAGAGTCAGCATATTGTCTCCAGCAATCCTGGTCCTTAATTTACCGACTTCAGAAGGCTGGAAGGCTGAGTAAACCTTGAGCCAGTCAGGATCAAACTCCTTGCTGTGGGGAGAATTAGGCTGCAATACTGCATTCTAACCACTGCGCCACCAAGGTCCTATTCAAGGTGTTACTGGTTACCTATATAGGTTGACATCACTTGGGTTGTTACCTTTTTGAAAGATGTCATATCAGTTGAATCTGCTTACCTGACATGGTCTAAGCCAGAAGAAGGATTGTGGGCACTTATCCAAAACATGAAGGAAACAAGAAGCCAGAAGACAGCTTTTCCATTAGCTCTACCTCTCATGCATCTTAGTCTGCCCATTAAAGTCAAGATATCTGCTAACTTCATTTAGATGTGACAAGAACAGTTCTTTGTTGTAGGGCTTTTAGAATGGAAGGTCCTCAGTAGTTGGCAGTAGGGAAAGATATTTTGGATAATACTCTATTTTATATGGAATTGTTTTATTACATTTTCCACACAGACAGAATTGGCATGCTCCAAGTGCCATTCATTAAGCAGAATCACCCGATGGGCCTAGGAAGGATGCCTTCTGTTAAAGCACCTGCCTTCTAGAACATCATTCTCTCTGAGATATATCTGGCCCCTATTTAGCCAAGTCCAAAAGAGCTTTGAAAATCTGGTCATCTCCAAAGGCCTTGGGTTAAAGTGGGTGGCAGGCCTTGTTTTGGTTTTGATGTGGCATTTGATTTTTGGCATTTGATTTTTTTAAAATTGTGCCACATATTTATTTTCATTATTATGCTGCCCAGAGTTATAGAGGTGGGCAGTCTTATAAATTTCTAAAACAAAATTTAAAAAAAATCAGAACTGTGGGTTAATTTGTTGAGTAGGCAGTTTATACATTTTCATAATAAATCAATAATCGTTTGACTTATTTTACAAGAATGCCTTTGTCTTATATCCTTCAACAACACAGTTAAAGAAATATGCTTAAGAAGTTTAATTCTCAATCTTTTGGGGATCCCTATCAAGCATTATTCAGAGATTCCATTTTTGGAAAAAATACACTCTACCTTTGTTATCCTTTTTTAAAATGATAAAACATAGTCCATTATATTTTCTATGATTTTCCTAATGCAAGGATAAAAATGTCAAGTGTTTCTTATCTAAACCTATCCTACCCTTCACTACTCTAAAAGTGGTGGTACTATAAGGCTATTCAACCCCAGTCATTAGTATTTCTAGTTATAAAACTACAAATTTATATCAAAATGTAGTCTTATGATCAACTTGTAGGTCTCCTAGCCTTAACCTTTGTTACATTCTGTTACAATGCAAATATTTAAATATTGCAAAGGATTATCCTGCTTTGAGCACAATTATAGTAAGGCAACATACAAAGAAAATGTTGATTGCCTAAATTCAACTGATAAAAATATGCAATAATAAAATATTTGTAACAAAATCCAAACTATTTAATATTAAATATTACTTTTATGATAGATTTCAACCCTAATTTAATTTTATAAAAAAAATAGTAAGACTATGTGCTTTACCTTCTTTTTAAATAACTGAGTATGGGCACCAATCTTACTGCTATAAGAAAATTCCAGTTTAGAATGACCAAAAACTTACATACTCATGTTTAACTGCAAATCCCACTAGACTGGTAAACATGGGCATATTTTTGTATCTCACAACTGAGAACAATCTGATATCTTCTAAAAGGTATATTCAAATTTATTTTTACACATATTTAACAAACACATACATATACGCTATTTCAGTTTATAACACACACATAAAACACTGATTTTGTTGTCAATAGGTTACAGATTAGATCTTCTATAACTATTCATGTTACATCGCCAATATCATGTCTATTTGCCATAATTTTGCCACTTTTCCTTGATGTACAGCATACTTTATAGACATTCTCCATGAACTAATCAGAACTGATGCTTGTTTCATTTTTATACAAGTATTCCTAACATAGCCCTTCCAGATATATGAATCTAGAATTCACAAGTATACACAGACATTTCTGAAAATTTTGGGACAGTATGAGGTAGTCAATTGATCAAAACAGAATATTCTGATTGCGACATTTAAAGGTAAACCAATCTATATGTTTTTAAACAGTAAAACCACATAACACAACTGCTCATCCCACAGCAAAAACAACACATAGTATAAAAAACTTGCAATATTCTAGTAATCTCCATTCTCTAGAGCCAACTGTCAAGTTTTAAATTTTAATATAACATTGGGGATAACTACAAAATGGTAATCCTAAAGCTAAATGATTAGCCAAACAATTAGTATCTTTGATTGAGGGAAGACAGCATAGATTAAAAATGAAGTTGCTTGATAACCGCACAAATATCCACATATTCTCTTTTCATCATGCTTGAGCAGCAGAAGAAAGCAGAAATGCTATACTGATGTTGTTGCCAAAGTAGCAACAGCATCATTACTGTACTTAATACTCCTTAATGGTAGTTAATGGTACTACATCTAAATGGAGGGAAGTAAGCAGTGGGGTACCACAAGGTTTCATCTTAGGCCCAGTACTCTTCAATATCTTCAAAAATGACTTAGGTGAGGGAATAAAAGGGGAACTCATCAAATCTGCAGATGACACTAAGCTGGCAAGAATAGCTAGAAGACAAGCTCAGGATCCAAAAAGATTTTGACAGACTTGAACAATGGGGTCTATCCAACAAAATGAAATTTAATGTGGAAAAAAGTTTATTAAAAAGTTATTAAGAAAAAAGGTTTACACCTAGGCAGGAAAAACCAAAGGTACAAGTATAGATTAGGCTCAAAAACAGTAACTGTGAGAGAGACCTTGGAGTCCTAGTGGAAGATCACTTAATCATGAGCCAGCAGTGTGCAGAAGCAGCCTAAAAAGCTAATACAATCCTTGTTTGTATTAACAGAGGAATAGAATCAAAATCAAGTGAAGTATTAGTACTACTTTGTAAATCCTTAGTTAAGACCTCACCTGGAATACTGCATCAAAAAAGATGTTGAGACTTTGGGAAAAGTGCAGAGAAGAGCAACTAAGATTATTAAAGGCCTGGAGACAAAAACATATGAAGAACGGTTGTAGAAATTGGGTATGACTAATCTAGAGAAAAGGACTAGGGGTGACAGGATAGCAGTATTCCAGTATTTGAGGGGCTGCCACAAAGAAGAGGGGGTCAACTTATTTTCTAAAACTCTAGAATGCAACACAAGAAACAATGGATCGAAACTAATAAAGGAGAGAAGCAACCTGGAATTAAGGAAAAACTTCCTAACAGTGAGAACAATTAACCAGTGGAACAGCTTGCCTTCAGAAGTTGTAGGTGCTTCATCACTGGAGGTTTTTAAGAAAAGACTGGACAGCCATCTGTCTGAAATGGTACAGGTTCTCCTGCTTGAAGAGAGAATTTGACTATAAGACCTCCAAGTTCCCTTCCAGCTCTATTTTGATTGACTTATACATGCAAATCCTATACTGGCAGTTCTTAACTTAGGACTAGTTGTTTAACACTATTCAAAATTATAATGGCCACTAAAACAGATTTTGTAAAATCTCGCTCCACCAAGCCTGCCATGACCTGACATTTTGGGCGCTTGGCAACTGGCTCACATCTGCAACCTGTTCCCAAGCACCCTGAAATCATGTGATCGCCATTTGCAACCTTCTCTATCAGCTTTCCCAGGAATTCAATGGAGAAGCTGGCAGGGAAGAATTCAAGTGGAGGGGAGCTGAAATCTCAAATCTTGTGTGGAGGGGAAATTCTTTGGTGGGCTGCAGGATCAAAGCTGAAGTCCTGAAGATGTCAGCTGGTTCCTGTAGCCCCATGAATGATTTCCTCCCCCCCCCCCTGCAAAGAGGAAGGGAAATCCTTCATAGAATTGCAGGAACATTTCAGAGTGAAACCCTCTGGCATGCAGCTCTTTCCTGCATCTGCTTCACTATCTAGGAGTGCTAGGATTGTGGTTGTTGAGCAAAGCAATGATGCTTAATAACTGCTTTGCTCAACGACTAAGAGTGTGGTCCCAATTATGTTATTAAGCAAGAACTACCTGTAATGCTATAACCAGACTTGTTAAGACGTTGATAGGGTTGAAAAGAGAAAACAGTAGGTTATGCCTTGATAGATCTACTTTTAACCTATAAATATGCTAAATCTGTTTCACTTTGGCATTGAATGAAATGCATGGTTCTTGTTGGATATAAAGGAAAGCTTGAGTACAGGACTTAAGAATTAAAAGAGTGCTTGCTCAAAGCACCACAGTTGCTTTTTGATCATTTAGCCTGTGAGTTGGAGATCTCCATTATGGCTCTACACAGAGAACAACAAGGTGGTTAGTAAAATTTTGTTAACAATTTGTTTTTTTTATTTTCTAAATTGTATTAATAACAGTTATTCTATAATATTTAATTACTATATTATCAGAGACCTTGAAAAATTAAAAATTACAGAAGAAAGCTGAATGAGAATTTCATGTGTGTTTTAAACACAAATGTGTCACATTTTAGAAAAAGTACATATTAATAATTTGTTTATTCAATATATATACTTTATTTCAAAACAGAAAATATAAGATTTCTACATTCATGAAAATTAAGTGTAATTAATATAATTAAATCAAGACATTACCTTAATGAATGAAATAAGCTTCCATGTGCCAGCGAGCAGTAGAATATCAAAGATCATGCTCAAATTTGTAGTGCAGCCATCTAACAAATTAGTTGGTTGTGTCTTATTAAGTTAACAAATCTTGGATCTGAAACAAAGAAGTAAAATAGAAGTTCCCTTCTATTATTAAAAAATATTTGGATTGCTTTAAGACATTAAAAAACTGTCAAGTTACTGGATCTGTCAAATGTTTGATTTTTTTTAATTCTATACCTTATTAATTTTCCAAGCACAGACTACAAGTGAAAATAACTACTCAGATGAAGAAAAAAATCCAAACAATATTGAAGCAATATCTTTATTGGTCCAGTTGGATAGCTTTCAAGTTTTGAATAATTCTCTGTCAGACAATATAGTAAAAACAAGGCAACAAATGCACATTGAAAATATGGAAAAAGTCATGACTGGTGTTCAAATAAACACTAAGTAAAACCTTTCCTTTTTTTTCTTGGCATTTAATAAAATTACAGATTGTGCTCACATTATTTTGGAGAATGGAAGTTTGAAAATGAGGCCTAAAAATAATCCTATCTTTCTGCAAAGTTGGCCATCTTCATCCAACCAAGCAAATACCTGTCAACAACCATGGAAAGCTAAACAATTAAGAGAAAGAAGGCCATAAACAGATGTGGACAATACAATCATGTGTCACATCAGAAAAAGAAAATATGCTGTATCTTTCTCCAACATTTCCTCTCCCATTTGCCAATTTTGCATAAGGCTGCAAAATGAAGGAAGAGAAGAGAAAGACTATTCCATTTCCATATTGCAAACACCCAGCTTTGGTTCTCCATCAGCTATTACCTATGGACAATAATTCTAACAGGCTACCTGTTTCCATATGTGGCCAGAATAAACATTGGTATCTAAGCTTCATTTCCCCACTCCTTTCCCATTCATTTAACATTGTCATGTCTTTTAGATAAGCATTACAGCAGGGGCAGTCATATTGCACAGTGGGCCATATCCAACTAAAAACACTCTTTAATAAATGTGCAAGCAGATTTATTGTGCAAGTAGAAGATAATAAAAATTTAAAATAAAATGCACATGTCTCCAAAAAGAGATGTAATCAAATAACTGCTTCCAATTCAAACTTCACAATTTCAGTATTTTAATTTCTTTTCATAAGTCTTTTGTACTGTAGTTCTTAATAATGTAGTTTCAAAGAGAAAGCACAGAAACATCCACCTTAAGAACCTCTTGCTTACATTTCCTTCCAGGCTATGTAGGGAATTCTGACCATAGTGACTTAAGTACAAATCCTAAGTATTTAAGACAATGTTTCTCAACCTTTCATTTCTTAAATCCCCCCACTAATATCACTGTCGTAAGAACAAAAAGCCACTTTTCCAAGAATGTTAACATTCTGTTCTTATACTTAATAGTTACACTAAGTTTCAAGGGCATTTGTGTCAACAACTTACCCCATCTTTACATAGTTTTTTAAGTCCATCTGACTATGCATGCCACCAACAAACACGGATTATGAGATGTAGAATTGATACTACAAATATGCTAATTCTGATTTAATTACTGTATTAACATAGTATGACAAGTGTAAATAACTAGTTTGTAGTTTGAGACTCATGATAGAATGTTTACTCCTGGGTACTCTTAAACTATATAAGCATATGGATTCCACAGGGAACTGGAATAAAGAAATGACGTGCACTTGGCTTCAGTTCTAGTATAGCAATCTGGCAACCGTCACTACTGCACGGTAAACCCGACTACAAGTTTCCCAATCAACTATTCAAATCAGTAAATTGGCTTGAACCAGGCTTTCCACTTCTATTTTTCAACAATGCTTTGTCACTTTTAAAAAGAATGACAGAAACAAAACTATTTAAGATTAACTGCCACTCCCACATTTCTAGTCCTGCACAACCACTTGACTTTTACCCACTTCTTTTACTCTTTTCTCAGTGACTATCAAGATGACCTATGTTGAGGAATTGACACAATACACCAAAACTTATATTTTAAGGTGGTAAGGTTGATCTGCCAACAATAAGTTATACAATACTATTATGTGGATTTTCTCACTTACTCATACACATACTCCTTGCTTTTTCAGCAACAGTATTCTAACCAGATCACGAAGGTACTTTCCTTAAACTTAGGTTCCTAACACAGAAGCTAGCAATAATTCCATTAAGCAGAACAGTCAATAGCCAACAGCTGTTGACTAATGAAAAGGGAAGGAAAATTCCACCTTATTTTATGCTGACATCCTGTGAACTTCAGAAACAGCTTTTTTGACCTAAGCTTTAAAAAACATTTACTGTAGGTGTAATAGTAGCATTAAAAATTCCCACACTGCATCCACTTATATCTCTCTTTTGCCTTTTCAACCTCTGCTAGCCTGTCTCTGTAAAGCAATTTGAAACCACTATCATCTAAACCTGTTAAAAATATATTCAAATAACAGCATAGTAAAATGTCAACTATTGCAAGGGCTGGTCATAATCTATTTGCCTTTTGAATACCAAATATTTCTCCCTTAAAGTGTTACTATACAATTCCAGGAAAATATTGTTATTTAAGCATGCCCATTAGAGTTTAGTTTTCTAAAGAAATTACAAAGACGGTTATACATCGTTTTTTTATTGGGAAAGTACCTGAATTCCTTTCAAATAATTGTATTTTTTTGAGGAGGGGGAGAAGCCGTAGTCCTACAGCCTTTCTAGACATAAATGATGATTATATCTCGCTTCCCCCCGCCCATTAATAATTGTGGCTGAATGTGGAAAACATTTCTCCCGTCAGTTGGGAATGGACTTCCTTCTTTGGCCTGGGTTACCTTTCTATTTCGTAGGAAGCGCGGCTTTTCCACTTACTCGGAGGCTTCGGTTTAAGGTGGCGCTGCTTTACGCCGCCCTCCTCGTTTCTATACAAGCGAGAGGTGCCTCAGACACTCGGCCGGGAAAAGAGGGCGTCGATTACTGAGAAGTTCTTTCCCGGAAAACTTATCGGGGGGTTCCTGCGATCCGCAGGGACTGCTCGGTTTCCCCGGAGAGCCCCCTCGCATGCTCTGAGGGGAGGGTCGGGGCACAGCCTGAGGAACCTCTCCGGGACGGTCTGGGAGGATCTGCCCGGCGGCTTCGGCTAACAAGGCGGGCCCCACGGTTCGCGGCTGGTCCCCCCTCTGGCCGCCCAGCGGGCAGCTCAGGGGAGACAATGGCCACGATGACTTCACTCCCCAGCAATGTGAGGAGCCGCCGCCGCCGCCGCCGCCTAAGCCCTCTCCGCGCCCGGGAGCCGAGCCTAGCGGAGCCCCGAAAGCGAAACGTCCCTTCTTTCCAGCCACCGCCGCCGCCGCCCGTTGGCTCGAGCAGCCCTCCCGCCTTTGCTGCCTGCCAGGCGGCTTCTGCTAGACTCCCCCCCCCCCCGCCGCCACTGTCAGCCCCGGACACGGCAGCTAAGCCCCCGAAGCCCCGTCGGCATAATCCCTCTCGCCGCCCTTCCCGGTACCTTGAACTCGGCGGAGGCAAGCCCCAAGCAGCCGGGCCCTCCTCGGCAGACCCGCGCCGCACAGGAAGCGCCTTTGAGGGGAGAAGAAAGCGAGCGTGTGAGGAAAGGAGGGAGAGCGGAGGGGAAGGGGGAGGAAGAGGAGTGGGAGGGGGAGGAGGAGAGGCTACCAGGCCCCAGGCAAGGAAGGGCTGGGCTTGGCCCGCAGAGGGGGAGATTTCCGCCTCGCTCCCCCGCTGAGCTCACAGACGAGGCGGGGCCGCCTGGGGGTTGAACCCGGTGTCTGTCCGCCGGCGGCGGCGGCGAAGAAGGAGGAGGCCTGGTGCGCAGGGGAGGCAGCGCGGGCGGCATTTTCTCTTAAAGTTGGCTTCTTCCTGCGAGGCGGCGCGTCCAGGGGGAGGATTTGGGGCCCCTTCGGGAACCACGCAGCTCCACTTTGCTCCTCCGGAGGAAGGGTACTCATTGAAAGCGACTCCCTCGCAGAACACGGCCCTTCCCTTTGCCGACCGGCTGAGGGTCCCGCTGGGCAAGAGCAAAGCCCTCCTTAATTCTTCCGAAGATCAGAGAGAAAGTGCCTTCCAGAGACCGTGGCTAGTCTTGTCTCCGCTCGCATAAATATAGCTAGGAGCTTTTGTGGGTTTAATCTTTGGCCAAGAAAAGAAGAAGGGGCTGCAAAGGACGAGCTGGCCCGGAAGCGGAGGCCTTTGGGGCCGCTCCCGCTAGTAAGATGTGTGGTAATATTTGCTCCAGGGTGGAAAAACCGCCAGGCAGCGTGAAATTTGCTGGGCCCTTTGCCCGTCCTTTCTGATTTCCTTGGATCCCAGTAAGGGCTGGTAGCCTGATATTCTTCCAAGATAAGGAATGACAAAGCCTAATAGATTTTAGAGAGCATGGAGCAGCCCTTATGGATGGCATCTGTGAAAAATATTACTTTAATCCAGTGTTTCTCAACCGTAGCAACTTTAAGATAGGCGGACTTCAACTCCCAGAATTCAAGTGCTACTGCTGTAATTCATGGGTTGGGATGAGAGGAAGGCAAGATCACGGGGAAATGACAGAAAAAAAGTTTTAACAGGCCAGTTTCTGGTTCGGTAAAATGCAAGTAGAGATACAGCCTAATACACGTTTGCTTATCCTACATTGGAATTTGTTCATCTTTTTAAAATATATATTAAATATGTATATTTTATACCCTCACAACTTTGGCTTTAATCTGTATTATGTTAATATATTTATAGTGGTGTGATCCTATACTATATGTATTTACAAATAAACAAATCTTGTAGTCTCTTTACATTTGCAATTGCAAGATTAGGTATCCTGAATGCCAAGGACCATCTTGTCTCTTGGTAAAATTTGGAATAATTCTCTCTTCTTTCTTAACTTTCAATTCAGCTTGAATAAATTATCACTTGTTATCACTTATAGCTTGAATTTTATTTATCACTTGTTCTCACCCAGCTGGATGAGAACAGGAAAAAAATGAGCAAATTATAAATTAACACTTGAAATAGCTCGACTATATTTTATTTAGTTATTAGCTATACTGTTACGCTAGTAATTTATCAGTTTTGGAACATGTTATAGAAACTTTCAAAACAATACTTTCTCACATTGATCTAAAATTGTGCTGGTTTTCTCATAAAAATATGAATTCTATTTAGGTTCTGCCTTTCCCTATCCTGAACGTTTTCTCAGGAACTAAAAAAATTCAGATTATAAATTAAAGTCTGAATATTATTCAAGCCTAAATTCCCAGTACACATTTGGATCCTCTGATTTATGAATAATCAACTATACAAAGGACCCAATAGTATCTGATTCTTTATCTGGAAATAAAGTCCTAGCAGGATTTGTGCTGAATTTACATTTGTAGACCAGCCTATCCAATTCTCTTATTGGCAGGGCAGCATCAAATTTCTTCATATAAATTAATTAAAATAACATAGTCAAGTAGCAGATCAGCAGTTTCTTATCTGATATCCAGCATAACTCTACTCCTGCCTCATCTTTTAGTTGCATAACAAATAGGGTTTGCAGAATTCTTTGCCAAATTTTCTATTTTTATTCCTACTGAAAAGGATGGAGTTAAAGATTCCTTTGTTCATTTTTCATTGGTTTAGCTAGCCCTTCAATAATACCTGGAGTGACCATATGCCCTACTTTCCTGAAGACACACCTCTGCTTGAGAGTCTTTAGAGAACTGTCCTTTATTTGACAGCATTTTCTATTTTGAGTCCTGTCTGAAGTCTATTTAAAAGCATAGGCAGCAGATTAAGGAAGCACCAAAATAATCTAGTCACAGTCTTCCTCCACAATGGCGAGATGTATTATATGTAAGTTATATTTATTTCTCTATTTCCATCTATACATAATAAACATTTGCAAATTAGGTAGAAATATGTGTCCTCTTTTTGTTAATCCATTTCTTCTTCTTTGGCAAAGCCATTTCTGTTTTAGCTCTAATTCAGTTAAAATGGTGATTCAGCTGAAAGTTAATTGTGAACGAGTCATCTGGATAATCCCCCAAAATTTAGCTGTCAGTTGTTTTTATGGAATAAGATGATAAAGGTAATTAGATATTTCTTTTATTAGAACAGCAAAGGCAGTTTAGGAGATTCTAAAGATGGCTAACTTTATCTTGCCAGATTAGAATTAATATATCAGACTCAAAGCCTGTATTTGTTTCTTACTACACTATCATATTTCAAATGATTAAAATAAAGGGAAGATTTTCCTCCATTGTGCCTCACCCCTCCTATTGCTGCTTTGAGAAATTTTGAGAAATGTTGATATTAATTAAATGTATAGTTTATTTGTTAAACACAATATTACCAGAGATAGCAAGAATTCAAAGTAGCAGAGATTATTTTATGGCTCTGTGTCCTCTGAAATGTAGAAGCAGGATTAATTATTGATACACTTCAGTGAGGCAATGCATTTCTCACTCAGGGCAACTCTATCTGGTTGCATTAATCCAGACGATCATTCAAGGGCAGAAACAGATATAAAAAACACTTTCTTTGCTGCCATCTAACAGTCAGTAGAATTACTTGCAACCCTATTCAACCTATTTTTAAATTTTTAGTTGCATGTCATATGTCACTTTTTATTCTTCTGAATTATATTAGTAAGCAAAACATATTTCAGAATTGTTCTGAAAGTTTGTTCATTTAGGATTTTACTTGGACCACAGAATCAGATTTAATAACAAATATAAAAAAGAATCAGATTTATCAATAAAGACTATTTAAAACTATTTTTTCTTAATAAATGAAAAATCATACTCATGGAAATATAAAAACTATAGGATTAATGTATTATGGTTAGATTTTAATTTTCACTTCACTGCAAGTATCTCAAAAGCAATTGTTAAGTATAGGAATTAACTGATACCATGAATATGTACTGTTTTAGAGCTGGTGATGTACATGAAGGGGGAAATAGCAAGATAAGGGACTTTTGAGTAAATAATGAATGATCACACTTAAAATAGCTAAAATCAGCCAAATTTATATTTCTAAAGAATGAAATAAAGTTTAAAAGAAATCCCAAATAATATCAAGACAAAGCAGTAGTGTATGGGCAGGATATTACAAGCCACACAATATTTTAGAAACTCAAGAACAATATAAATTCATTTTAAAAAAACAAAGAGAAGAAAGTAATCAGACTGGCATGTTTTACAAAGATACTTCTAGGCCATCACAGATTTGTTTGCAATCCCAAATATCCATTGTATAACTTATTTCTGGATAATATGGGACTGCATGATGGCAGTGCAATTCTACCATATGTTTACTCAAAAGTAGCAGTTATTAAGTCCAAGAGAATTTATTCTAAAAACCATTATAACCTATTGATTTTCCATTTTTTAAAACTAGTAAATATATTATGAGCTGTATGGAAAGAAATTGCCATGTTGGCAAATCCTTATGTACCATCAAACCAATAATAGAAAAAAATTCAGAACAAAGTGCTATTGGTTAGAGCCACTATTTTAGATTATAGAATATTGCCGTAGTAATCAAATTATTTAATGAAAAATGTGATTGGTTTATTATACAGTTGAAATAATTTGTTGGATTCATAATATTTCAGACTATTTTTGCAGATTAGTTAAAAAAAAGTTGAGTGCTAAAAGAATAAATACATAAAATTTTGAACAATATTGCAATTCTGTTGTAATATTAACGAATTTATATCACAGTCATGTTTCCATGTTCAGCAAGATTTTACCCACACATCCATGACTTGACTATTTAGGCTACTGTGGAAAGATATAGCTGGAATAACATTTTTTTTTGGTCATTTTTCTAACCAAATAAGTAAGATTTACTGAACTTGACCATTGTAAGTTTTACCAGAATTTTTTAAAATATTAAAATAAAAAAGTGGGGAGGGGGAATTGTGAGCCAGACTGCTACAACAAAATTAGTGGGACTTTAAAGCAATTAAGATAATTTCATTTTAGCAAACTGGGTAAGGTAAAACCTTTTCTCGTGACTCAATTAAAATATGACTCAACATATCATGCAGACATGTACAGTACTGTAAAACCTTAAAAAGAATACACCTTGTTTCAGTTGCCACAGCATAAACCCCTGATTCCTCCACAGCAGCTAAATAAGAATAAGGATAAGGTGTGGTTTTTTTTTTACCATGAGACACTTCTTAAATTGAAGTAAATTCACAGGAAAAAGTGATGGTATGAATCTAGAAAAAGGAAAGATACCCTCGCATATATCTTCCTGGCATTCACCTTTCTATAGCAATATAATAAGAGGAAATTATACATGAAAAAGCCCAATGCAAGGCATTTAATTAAAAATGGGTAGGGCACAGGAAATCCTTCAAGTAACTTGTAATTAACTTGTGAAGTAAATACACTGCACTGGCCATTGTATATATTAATCAAATATTTGGAGACATATATAAAGAACAATCTTATCCACTCCTGCTTTGTGTAAAAGCTAAAAATTGAAACACTGCTATTCAAATATCTATCTGGTCACTAGGAGTCGAAAATGAGTTGATAGCACACAGTGCTGATTCAAAACTAAAAGATAGTAAAACTAATATGCCACGTCTTGTGTAAGAACAAACTTCCCAGATTATCTATAATCACACACAAATGTGTATCTATGATCTTCTGATAAAAACAGCTAATTTTAAGGTCCACTGCTATTGTCTCAAAACATTGCATTAGTTAACTAAGACCTACTCGTTTATTTCACCCCAATGAAGTCTTGTGTTTTTTTTTTTTAAAAAAAAAACATGCATCATTTCTGCCATTCAGACTAATAAGTTTATATTGCAGTCTGTAGTAAACAAAAATTCAAACCAATAGAATGTTTAGGTGGAGTCATCCATTATCCTGAAGTGCATCCTTCTGGATATCCTTTGCCCTAGATATGGAAACAATTTAAATAGTGGCTTATTTTCTAGATTCATTCATATGTCTTACTGGTGATTAAAAACAAGTCCTGAAGAATCTAAGGGTGATTCATTCACATATCCAACAAAAGGAATGAAATTTACTTGAAATGTCCATGAATTTTGAAAAAATGTTTAGTTTGCAAATGTGCAAAAGACAATTGCTTAGTCATATTTCATATTAAATTATAACAAACATTGTTTGATTTTGGCTTCATGCTGTGAAAGTCATAAGACTGTTCAACTGCTAGACTAGGTAATTGCTTAATCTTTATTGCTGTGAACTGTTTGGGAAAGAATTCTATTACATGACGGTCTACAACCATCCTGCTTCCTGCCTACACATTTCATTATGTTCTTTCTGCAAATCATCAGATAGTTATCTTTCTTAAATTCATACATTTCTCAATGACATGAAAAGTAAAAATCTAGTCTGTACTTCTGCTATACATGTTGTACTTTCTAACATTTGCTGATTGTTACTGTTATACCTTTTTAATCAAAATTCTACCAAATATCTTCTAAGGTTCAGCTAAGAAACAAGTCACTCTATTTTTTGCATGCACTTTAGCTATCTTTCTTTTTCTGTAGGAAACAGTAAACTACATTTATGAAGTCTTCTGCTAATCACTTTTACTTTCAATTCCATTTGAGTTGCTAGACTTCCTTATTAAGGCATGTTTATCCGCTTACAAAAACTTTTTATTTCAAGGAAATAATCAAATGTTCTGTATTTTTCACTGCCTTTTAAAATAATAAGTCTCTTGCTCTTACTGGCTTCATTCTTTGCAACTATTTTTTCCTCTATAATTTATGCAATATTATTCCTTTATCCCAGCGGTTCTCAACCTATGGGTCGCGACCCCATTTGGGGTCGAATGACCATTTTACGGGGGTCGCCAAACAACGTGATCCGCGCGCATGCGCGGCGCGTCCGTGTGATGGGGATCGCCGTCACACAAAGGTTGAGAACCGCTGCTTTATCCTCACTTTTTGTAGTAATCTCTCTCTTACTGAATTTTTTCTCATTGCCAGTCTCTTTAATTCTCTCATTCCACACAGCATACTTTTTCATATTTTTCATTAGCATAAATCAGCACACTTCTATGGCATTCCCTAACATAATTATTTAAGAAGTTTTTCTTATGACCACTTTCCATTAATTCCATTGGGTGATTAATCTGCTTCTACTGCTTTTTCATCTAGGATTTGTATTTTCTTTTTCTGCAGTAATTTTACTTTCATTCTATTTTTTTTTAATTCTTGCCCTCTTATTCCATATTCCAGTTATTTCTCTCCTCTTGACACTAACCAGAAATGATCTGCCCCATATTTACAACCTCTTACATTGTTCACTAATTCTCTCACTTTCACTATAAACAATCAAATCAATTGTGCTTTTATATTTACACCCACTAGTACACTAGTATTATGAGAATATGGCAAAACAAATCCCATTAGAAAAGATAAAGCACATAGTTCTGTAAAGGGGGGGGGAGAGGAAACCAGAAAGTGTTCCTGAATGTATTAGTGAATTTAGCTAGAGGGTTATAATTAAGAATGAAAAAGGAGAAAGTCCTTTGTGTGGGAAGAAAATTCTGCAGGAAATGAGGGGGGCCTTGGGGGGAGATTGCTGACAGGTTTGATTGTTTTCCACAGTAACACTTGCTGTGGGCAACATGGATTAGTGCTATCATACTGTGTCTGCACCCGCTTTAAAATGTTGGCACTGTTAAGTACTAGTTCAAAGCCACCTCTGAGCCAGCCCCAATAATCTGCACTAAATCATGAGACAATTATGCACTAGATATGTGGCGATGTGCAAGTTGATCCCAGACTGATGTGATTATTACTGCATGCATGACATTAAAGTCCACAAGGGTGTAAGGCTGTCCACAATCTGTCAGCTAGCAAAAATATCATAATTTGATCCACACATTATATTACAAAAAAGGTCCTGGTTTTGCTTGCATTTTGGCTTAACACGTTGAATGAACCTATGTAACTACTGTGTTTCCCCCCCCCCCAAACTGATTTATGGATTAGCATTATATATGAACGTAGTCAGCTGAAATGTAACAGAGCTGTCTTTAAAGTCAACTTGGAAGCTACAAATGTTTCAAGATATAGCTGCCCCCTTGCTAATCAGTCATTCCAGTACAACAGAATAACACCAGTTCTGCAAGAGCTGGTAAAACTTCCATGTCAAATTCAAAGTGCTATTCATTACATAGTACCATAAACCTCTTTATGACTCAGATTCTTTATTATTTTCAAGACCACCTGATCCCAGCAGATTCTTCCTGCCCTCTTCACACTGGGTAAGAAAGACTGAGAATTCCCTCACATAAGATGTGAAGGGGTGGGAATCCAGTATGTTCAGTAGCAGACCTTGCTTTAGTAGGATGGACTCTTCCTTATTATCTTTTTAGAGAGTGTTAGAAACATGCTTTTCCAATGGGACTTTGGGATGGAGGATGAAACATCACTGGAAGGAAGTGCATCTAAGAGGTACCATTTTACATTTAGTTTAGAGCAAGGCTTTTCAACCAGTGGTACGAGTACCACCTGTGGTACATTGGAACCTGGCAGGTGGTACACAACCATCCTAGAAAAGTGGTAACGGGGGAGGGGAATGAGCTGAACCAGTGGCAGCATCGCACAAGCCTGAGCGAGAGATGGCTAGAGCTGCAGGGCTGTCAGGGCTCAGCAGAAGCGCCAGGATCAGCGCTTCTTCGGGACTGTCAAGGCTCAGTGGAAGCATCAGGATCAGTGCTAGGCTCCAGCTGGAGCTCAGCACTGATCCTGGCACTTCTGCTGAGCCCAGAAGAAGCGCCGATCAGCTGGAATGTTGCAGCATCTCCAGGGTCTTGTGATTTACATTCAGATGTTTGGCAACTGATTCATATTTATGATGGTCACAGTGTCCGAGGGTCATGTGAAGTAACCAAAACCTGCTGCAACCACCCAGCAGACGGGGAATAAAAACCAAACACCCCCACCCCACCCCACCCCCGCTGCCAATCCTCAAGAGAAATGCTCACAACAATGAAAACCTCGGACAGGAGGAAGAGCGCCGCTGGGTAGGCAGGCAGGTGTCTTGCTCGGCTGTGGCTTGGGGGGCACTTTTTTCAGTGCCATTGTAACTTCGAACAGTCACTAAGCGAACTGTTGTAAGTTGAGGACTACGTGTACTTCATCAGTTTTTTTCCTTTTTTGGGGGGGGATCATCAACTTTTTGACACCTTGCTAGGTGATTGGTGGTACTTGGATACTGCCGTATCCTAAAAGTGGTACAATGGGTGAAAAGGTTGAAAAGCCCTGGTTTAGACGTCAGTGTGTTTTATTTTGTTTGAGAATGTTTTAATGTTCTCATGGTTTAATGTTTTAGTGTGAGCCACCAGAGTCTTTCATGGAGACAGTATATAAATAAATACAGATAGATAAATAAATAAATAAATAAATAAATAAATAAATAAATAGTTATGATGTCAGATATATCACCTAGGAGGCTTACAGAAGGCTAAAAATAATAAAAATAAAATAAGAACAATGATTTTTTTTAAAAAAAAGAAACATGGGAAGGGATGTGGAAGATGGAAACAATCTTAAATGGTAGATTATTCCAGCTGAATGCCAGTGGAAACAGTCAGGTCTTTAAGAGTCTCTTGAAGGCCACCAGGACATATGGACTTCAGGATGATGATACTCTAAAGGGCAGGTATAGTAAAAGAGAAGACATGTCTTCTGCATCCCATGAGATGAATAACAACAGTCATGAGACGACTGAACAAATCAGTTTAAAATGATAGGAAAATTGATTGATTTAATAGGTATGATGGTAGAAGGTAGATGGTTACATGCATTGTCTCCTTTAAAATAAGTTCAGGCAGCATTGGGTGCACAGTGTAATGATGGCCAAAGATAAGCCCTTCAGAAATACATGGTCTAAATGAGTAAGGAAATAATTATGGGCAAGGAGAAAACAAGTGAGAGAGAAACACTCAGTGAGGCCAGAGATATATGGGCATTGCATAAGCATTGCACTTAGCAGTATTGCTGAATAATTCTTGATAGTCTAAAAAGATTCCTCATTTAGACAGTCATGTATTTTAGTAGAAATTAACACTTTGTTTTGCAGAAAATCGTTAAAAAAATCTAAAAGCAATAAAATGGATTGTGGGTGGTTATCAGCCAATTCATGGCTATAACCTGTCTTTTTAAATAAGAAAGTAAGGTCTTTAGCAAGTTTTAGACTCAATGTCAGTTAGCATAGCTTCACATTCTCATAGTATTTTATAAATTGTAGTACTTCTATGTCTTTATAGTTACCAATTATCTGTAGCATTCAGACTATTGATTTTAGTTTTATACATCTCTCCCGGGTTTTAATCCCTGTACCTTGTAATTTTTGTGTTAATAATTTTATTATTTTATTTGATCTATCGTATGTGGGTTTTTTTTATTTCTGTTGTAAAGCGAATGTTATGTTATTACAGTAGTTTTATGCTGGTTTGGGATCAAAACAAACAAACAAATAGGAAAGATACTGAGGCAAAAGTCCTAAAAGCAACAGCATGTTCATATTACAACAGGTTTCTAATCGCTTCTGGTTCTCTGAGAGGTGTTTGTGCGGTGTCGTCATTGTTTACATACTACGTGCACCACTGATTTCAGGAGGTTTTCTGGAAGTACCATGTTAGCTTTTGCCAAGAGATATAAATGTAACAAAGTGCAGTAAATAAATAATAAGCCAAAAGAGTCTTGGCTCAGAGTCCGCTACTCAAAATCGTAACCAAAACATATCAAATGACCTCAAACAAAAAGGCATATAATTTTAAACAATTGTGTGAATATCAAAGCAATCTTGGATCACATGATACATCATACATAGCTATTCCTGCCATTCTAAATATAGCTAAGCTTGGGCCCAACCCATGTTGATACAAATAATTAAAAACAAAACATTAAACTAATCAGCAATATTTGTTTGATTTTTGTCTCAGAGTAATGCAGGCAATTTATTTTAAATGGCATTGTATTATGTGAAAATCTTGTCATAGTGTCCTGTTTATCCATAGTATAATGCATAGTGCATGGATTTTTGAGTGACAGACAATTGATCCTTGAATAGTATGCAGCTGACAACATTCCAAAAATTAAATGAGGGCAGGATAAAGTAAAAAACTAAATTTGATTTAATCTAATTTACATTTAAGTGTAAATAAAATTTGAAGTATTAAATACAGATTTTATATATATATAATATATATATATATATTCTTTGTTAGCAACCTAAAAATGTAAAATGATGTCGCAGTTGGCAACTGCTGCTTGTGGATGGCTCTAGATTGAGCTGATACAGGCAAAAGAAAAGAAAAAGAAAGAAGATTTCTTTCTCCCATATTTGGGCTGACAGGGTGCACATTCAAGGTAAAGTCTCCTCCCACTGTCTCTCTCCTGATAGCTAACAGAGTGGGAGAGAGCCTGTGGCTTAGAGGTTATAACAGCTGCCTAACATGCAGATAAGCCCAGGTTCGAATCTCAGAAGAGTAAGTCTGGCTGAAGAGAGTTAACGGAACTCGAAATATGTTTTCTGAGGTTTTCGCGGGTGTTTGTATGTAGGTCTTTGGTTGTTTGGGTTTTCTCCCGCGTAAAATTGGAAGTGTCTTGGCGACGTTTCGACGAATAGGTTTAAGGATGGATTTCAATCCACAATCGTTTACACAACTGCATGCAAGCTTACTGTAATCCCAATGTGATAGGAGTTCAGCTGGGCGTGATCAAGTTGCTTTTAGAAGTTATCATCATTTAGAAGGCATCAGAATGGGAAGATGTTAGTATCTAGAAATGTGATTTAATTGTATCTCATGAATGACATCTTAGTACAAACTTTCAGATGACCTCACCCACCGTGGAATAAAGATATGGAACACACAGGAAGCAGACATTAAAGCACCTGAAACACAATGACCATGTGGGGGACACACAAGATTCTCCAATAAGATTCTTAGAATATTCTGAGTTTTAGGAAGAACAAAGCCACCCAAATGATTCCAAGAATAAATCATGCAAGGCCTTTCAAAATGGTGGCATAATTGATGGTGAAAGGATTCAGAAGAATTATCAGATTTACTGATCTTATTACTACTACCATCAGGGTACATCATCAGTTAAATTGACCAAGGAGATTTCCATCCCACAGGTATCCAGATAGTGACTGTTGGGAAGTAACAGTGGTATGAAAAATATCTAAGGAAAAGGTCATTGGGTAAAGAAATATATTAGTCCAATATATATTTCATCTTCCACTTTAGCTCACTTTTCTCTGTCACAAAATTTTTCTCTGTGCTATCCTTTCAGATTCAGAAAGTTCCGAAGAACACATGGGGCCCATCACTGTGCAGGAACACTGCAAGTTTTCAACACATGGAGAAAAGAAACAAACATTTGGGTAAAGCTTCACTCTATGAATTTCTATTAAGAACTTCCTCTATAAAAATAATAAATGCTCTAAAATGATGCAGTACAATAAGCTGTGTTAAGACTGAAAATCTAATTTAAAACTAAGTGCAAATCAAAGGATAAAAACAAGCTTTTCTAGTGCTCTTTCCCCAACCTACCAGGCCAAAAGGAAGAGATGCAGATTTTGCAAATAATAGTAAATAAAATAAAATAAACCTGGCATTGTAAGGAACATTTAAAAAGGGCAAAGTCTTAGGCAATCAAAAATTATGTTATGCAATATGTGTGTGTGTGTGTGTCTTGATGCGTGAACATGTGCACCTGTATTCTGTAATCTACTTTCACAGCTGTTTCCATTATTGCTTTTTTCTAGCTGAAAGACATTTATTCCTCCTCCATTCTGCTAAACCTTGACACAGCAGCTGAAAAATTTGAGGGAGGTTATCATCATCAGTCAGAATAGAACATTTCAAAAGGACAGTAATTATTCCAATAGATTGCTGGATTTTTGAAAAAAAAAACTTCTAGGTTTTGATTCTCTTCCAATAAATATTATTGTTGCTTTTAGATATTACTTTACTGTATTACTTTGTGAAGAGGAGTCTACAAGATCAATGATTCAGCTATATGACCTTTTTGCAACATGTAATTGAAGTCCAAGTTAGTTGGGAAAGGCTGCATATACGCAGGACCCATTCAGCATACAATAATTAGTTTCTCAAGATTTGAAGCAGCATGCCAAGCACTGCTTGTCTCAGTAACAAAGCAGCAAGTGGTTCTGTCCATGCAATTTCATATAGAATAGATTAAGGAAAGTAATTAGTGGATTCCCCCACCGTGTTTCCCCACCCAGCAAGTGTCACACTGGTAGGAAAAACTGCCCAATTATATGCCTTAATATGTGATGGAACAGGATTGGGGGAGTGTAGACAGCTGCCTGTGGGTCCACATCTTCTTTACTGGGGGGGGGGACAAGAAAAACAGAATTATTGATTTCATCCGAGCCCCCTTCACCTGGACATTTATGCATACTGGATGGTTAATCTGCACAGAATAAGAAGACAACTCAAGAGTAATTCACAGAATCATCAAACCCTAGAATGTTGCAGTTGGAAGGGTCTTTAAAAATCATCTAATCAAACAATCTTGCCAGCTGGAAGGGACTTTAAAGATCATCTAATCAAACAATCTTGCCAATGAAGGAATCCAGTAATAAAGCACACTCAACAGACAGCAACCTCTCAAGAAAAAAAGTCACTTTCCAAGGCAGTTTGTTCCATTACTGAACAGCAATTACCATTAGCAACATTTTCCAGATATCCAACAAAAATCTTTTTTCTTATCATTTTAAACTCATGATTTCTTGTCCTGCCTCCTGAAACAGGTTTTGGACAGTTATGCCTTATCTTCTGCCTGACAGTCCTTCAGATATTTGATGACAGCTATTGCCTCCCCACAGTTTTATCTTCTCAAGGCTAAACATACTCAATGCCTGTGCCTCCAACCAATCCCTTTTTCTTCTTCTCATCTTGACTTAAATCTTCCAGACATTCTTGATGTCCTCCCTTAAACACAGTGTTTACAACTGCATGTAATATTTGTCATTTGACTGTTGCAGAACAGAGAGGAGCAATGTCTTATTTTCATTTTTACAGTATACTTTTGCTGATGAAGCCTAAAATTGCTTTTTTTTAAGAAGCTGCTTCATACCATTGGCTTCTGCATTCAATCTAGAGAAAAATCTTATATTAATTTTTTTAATCAGTCTTAGAAGAGATCAACCCCAACTGTTCTTTAGAAGGCCATATCCTGAAGTTGAAATTCAAATACTTTGGCCACCTAATGAGAAGGAAGGACTCACTGGAGAAGAGCCTGATGCTAGGAAAAGTTGAGAGCAATAGAAGAAGGGAACGACAGAGAATGAGGTGGCTGGATGGAGTCACTGAAGCAGTAGGCATGAGCTTAAATGGACTCCAGAAGATGGTAGAGGACAGGAAGACCTGGAGGAACATTGTCCATGGGATCGCGATAGGTCGGACATGACTTCGCAACTAACAACAACAAAAGATTTTGCATTTTTGCATTACATTTGCTGGTTTCTGCTGAGCTTGTCAAGATAATCTTAAATCTTGACATTCTTCTCTATGATGTTTGCTATCCCATTTGTCTTTATGTTATCTGCAAATGTGATCCTATATTTTCTAATCTATCAGCAAAGTCATTTATAAATGTGTTAAACTGCACAAAGAACTGAATCGAGTGTGATATACCATTCAACCTTTGCTTCCAGTTTAACACAAAGCCACTGGCATACGTTAACTGGATACAATTTTTCAATAGTTCTCTATTCATGGTGGTATCTTACCATTTTTCCTACCAAAAATTTATATGAGACTTGATTGAATGTTTTACTGAAGTTTACATCCACCATATTCCGGTGGTTGATTAAAGTGGTCACTCTATTAAGGAAGAAAAGTAGTTTGCCATGATTTATTCTGTGGAGTCTTTGATGCTCTCTGAGTTTGGCTGTTTACTTCTATGCATTTAATTACCCAAATAGGTAATATCCTCAGTTCTACTGAATGTGGGTTTTGCTCTCTATTTATATATACAACAACCAAGCTCAGAGAGCATCAAGAACTCTACAGTTCAATCCTGAGCCACATATATTCTCTTCTATTGGATGATTTATTCTTCCTAAATCTATGCTAGCTTCTGCCAAGGAATGCATTCTTTTCTAAATGCTCACAAAGTATCTGTTTAATAATCTGTTCCTGTAATGAACTCAAGACGAGACCATGGCAACTTCAGGAATTTATATTATTTAAAAACAGTTCACGGAATTTTATGCTCTGGTAAGAGGGACATGGAGATGAGCATTATTTCAGCACTGAAGCTGCTTAGATTTCTTCTGTAAAGCAAGCAATAGACTTTCTCATAGACTTTCCTTGAGATGACTGTCCATCCTACTAGGTTAGATAGGGTGAACACAGTTCAGATCCCTTCCCCAAGCATTGTCATTTTGTGGAACCTTGAAGGCGTGCCTCCCCTATGGCCACTCCAGTCCTTTGGAACCACTTCCCACCTGAGATCTGAGGAGCCCTACCTTTTAGCCTTCCAGGAGACCATGAAGACCTAGCTCTTTACTCAAGCATTGCCTAGGATAGGAATGAATTAAGAGGCTAGTGATACGGGTTGCTATGGTGTCTTAGTGAAAAGTTTATGTTGGTGTTTTATCCAGGATTAGTCTGTAAGATAGATGACCATATAGATTATCTAAATAAAGAAATAAATGTGTAATTATTTACTTGAACTACCCTGTCAAACATCACTATCCTGTTCATTAACAACTTTTCTCCTTCACAATTCCTGGTACAGTTGTGGTGCTTAAAATAATAATAAAAAAAAACAGGAGCAGTAAATATTCTGTAATTAGAACAGATCAGTTTTGTGGCTAGTCTAGCCTCCCACCTTTTCCTGTTTAGGTATGAATCATAAATCACAAAAAAGTTTGCATAGTCTACAAATTGGAGCATAACATTTTTTAAAAAAAATAATGAAAATGTTAAAAGAAAACCAAAACATGCTCATCATATAACTTACTCAAAGCTAGCTCCCAGTGTAGCTTAGATACTATGTGAAAACACATTGAGGCTCCTTCCACGTAGCTGCCAATATGCTTTGCCATTTTAATGGTAAGCTACATTTTCTCACTGGTGAACTGGACTTGGCAGATGTCCTCACCTTCTTTTCCTCAAGTCTGGTTCAATCTGTTCAGATCAACAGTGGAGGGGGGGACATGAAAAGCAAGGGGTGGCCTCTATACCTATATCTGCTCTTTTTCAAGAGCGAAGGAACCTCACATCCCCCAACAGTTGGCCTCTTCCATTTGGTGGAGAATGATAGGCTATGGGAAAAAAACCAAGGGGAGGTGGAGACAGAAGGCTTCTATAAAACCATAGAGACAGAACAAGGTGGGAGATTCTGGAAGTGGGATCTCCCCACACACCCACACACCTCCAGAAGTGTTACAAATTGTATCACACATTTTCCTCTGGTTTGAAAGCTACGCCTGTTACTTTATGGCATTTACCAGCTCAGCTGTCATTGAGTTCTTAAAGTCCTGCTGCTTCACGTGGACACACAGAAGGTGGCAGATTGTTGCATTTCTGGAATGTGACAGAATCCTATGTGGATGCCTTTTGCACTTGGCTCTAGGTAGCAAATTCTGGTGTACAAATAAAAAATAGTTTAAACCTGACACAACTTAAATCAATATATCCCTGAAATTTTGTAAAGAGAAAAAGACAAAAAGTGGCTTTGGTCATGTATTGAAACAGTTCTAATGTGGAAAAGTAGCTATGAAAATGCATGTTTGTCTGATCATACGCTGCTCCTTGCATAATTTGTCCCAAATGAATGAATTATAATTAATTTTAATTAATCACAGCAGAAACACCTATAAAAAAAATCAGATAGCCAGCAGTCACTTATCCTTGGTCTTTTTACAAATGAAAATGGGGAGAATAATATACTGACAACATGCTGTACCCAAACCACAAATTACTGTTCAATACCTCTCTGCCTCATGAGCATGCATCGTTGTATTATTTGCCTGTGTCTTGCTGGGTTCTGAAGCAAGAAGCAAATGCTGAGATGTGAAATCAGCTGTAACTACAGAACAGGGGGAAACCTGATGGAATCTGGTACCCAGAATTCTAGACTAAAAAAAATAAGTTCTCAGCTACCCTTCAAATAGTACTACAAGGAAACACAAGAGCAAAATGCAAAGAGTGATTCAGATAATTAGCTGATATGGTCCGATGAATCATAATTAAATTATTCATTTCAGGTTGTGAGTATTTATGTGTGTCCATACCCAGTCTTGAAATTACATATGTGACTTTTCTTCCTGTTCAAAATTCAAAGCTTCCTCTTCTGGCAAGCTATTACGTTGCTCAGGGAGAAATTACTGTATGTGAAATATCTTGAAACCAAATCTGGTTCACCAAGTACAACTTGTTAATGTGTGGCCTACAGAAAATGAATATTTTGCAGGGGTTTTTTCCCTATATCTCCTTTGAAGACCAAGAGCTTATGTGAAATACAAGCATTTTGTAGAAAATAGCAGGAAGAGGAGAGTGGGGCATTGTTTCAAAATAGTGATTTTAAAATGAATCCACATATTTTATACCCAGCAGTGACAATTAGCAGGCTGTAGAGATAGCTTAATGCAAAAACTGGGCACAAGAAAGCAAACTTCAAGACAAAGGGAATTGTGCACAGTTGTCAGGATAGTAACTGGCAATCTGGGTAAAAGAACTAATTATGTCCAAACAACAACTTAAAAGGATTCAGGCTATTCTAGTATAATGGAGTCATTAAATCAGATTTTATAGCCCATCTGAGTATTTAAACATAATTGTGCTGCAGCAGATGTTGATATTACAAATCTATAAGGAAAACACACATATAATGAAGAGATATTAACATCAAATAAACACTTTAGCCCTGAAGCTGAATTTGATAGGAATTGACCCTGAAGCTAGATTTAATTTTCCCAGGGCACCATACAAGATTCACCACCATCACCATCCATCATTTTATTGTTGGATTTAGATTCTTACAATGAAAAATACATAGTATTCATTTCTTCAAAAGATTCTTCTGGCACAATTCTTGTATTTGCATTAAAAAAGCCTATTTCTCATTTTCAAACATTCTCTAGATTTACTTGTGTCAGAAGTAAGTCTTCATCCAAGCCGTGAATAAATAGGCAACATGGAGACTGCTTTGGGAAGAAGGTTACAGTTTATTGAAGAAGCAGAAAGATGGTCCTTGCAAGGAGCAGAGAGGAAAGAGAGCTTTAAGTGCAGTAGGGTTTTTATACCCTCTCTAGCCTTGTTTGGAATAGTTTCTTGTTCCTGTGGCATGAACCTTGAGGCTGTTTCTGAGTGTTTGTCTAGGCCTTGATATCTGTGGTTTAATCCTATTATCATATCCTGCTTCCCAGGTGATGGGGCTAATGACTCCTGGAGTTTGGGTGGGGTATGCAGATCTTCTCTTTGTCTTCTTGATTGATCTGGCTTCAATTCTCTGATGGTTTACATTTGCATTTGTATGGGCCTAGCTCTTGCTTGGGGCAGAGAGATAGATTTGGGGCCAGGTTTGCTTTTAAAAAGTCCTTTTGAGGAAAAATATATTTTTCTGCCCTTTTTAATATTTCCTTCTCTGGGCTAACTTCCCTCACTTGTAAATACATTAATTCATTCATTAGATTTCTCTCTCTCTCCTTTCTTCTAAGAGTTAAAAGTGGGTGCATACCATCTCCAGCATTTTCCCCTTTCACAACAATATGAGGCACATTTACTTGAAAGACATCCATTGCCTCTAGTGTACTTCCACCCCACAAATGGCCTTGAAAACCAATTCTCCCCAGTCCTGCTATAGAACCTTAACTTTTACAATAGTTCTCTATCACATTCCTCCAGAATTGAGCAGCAATCAATATTCAATTTAACCACTGTGAAATCAGCAACTCATATGGACTTCAGCAAGTAAGCTGGCAATGAGCAATCCTGTGAAAAGGAACAGCTGCATTTTGAAATTATAGACAGGCGCTAAATGCATGCCTTTATGTATTTCAAAATACTTTTTCCCCTTCAAATCCAAAGTACTGCATACATATAATTTGCAAAGTGTTGAATCCTACAATTTTAGAGAAGGAGGAAACCATAATAATGATCTAGTCCAGGGGTAGGCAACCTACCTGGTGGACTTCAACTCCCAGAATTCCTGAGCCAGCATGGCTCAGCTTGGAAACCTCTCCCTTTTTCCTCAGCATGGTTGGCTCAGGAATTCTGGGAGTTGAAGTCCATGAGTCATAAAAAAGCCAAGGTTGCCTACCCCTGATCTAGTCTAACCTCTTATTTATGCAAAATGTACTATGCAGGACAGACCTGTGATAGTCCTTCACAATCTGGTTTGCTCCATCTATGGTAGACCTCAATCCCCGTAATCCCCAGATAGCATGATACTAACTTTACAGCACTTCTTTCTCTGCTTCAGCTAAACCAGGTCCATTCGCTCAGTTGCACAATAGAGTCAAACATGAGGACCACAGCAGTGAGAAGCTGATCCAACAGTAGTCCAAATGTGAGTATGAAGGTACTCAATGTTTTTATATAATCATTCCATCTATTCATTCTACCCATAACCCTTCACCTAACAAAATCAGCATATCAAATAGAAGGAGCCTAAATTGCTTCAAAGTCCCAACCTTCAGAAGCACTAGACTAGAGGGTGATCCACTATTGCCTTCATTTCTACTTATTAGATCTGCGTAGAACAAGGACAAGAAATTAATATGCTGTGTGAGAGAAAATAGCAGGGCAATTTGCACCATTTCTCCTACACTAAACAAAAGAAAAAAAATGTCTCATTTTGGCTAATAATGGGGAGCTGCAAAGCACTCAAATCTCCATAGATTCTCAGTCATCCAGGTCATAGATGTCTCAAAGGTGCTTTTTCAAAAGGCAACTGGACTGCTTTTTCCTTGAAGAAGAAGATGTTTCACTTCTCATCTAAGAAGCTTCATCAGTTGTGACTGGATGGTGGGGTAATGGAAGTGAAATACCTTCTTCATCCTCCTCAAGGCAAAACAGTCCAGTTGCCTTGTGAAAAAGCACTTTGGGACACTCAAGTTAGCATTTCCCTTGAAGGACCTGAAGCTTAGGAATAGGAGGAGAAATGAGATTAAAATTCTGTCAAAACAAAAACACCATGTTATTTTTCTTTTACTTCAATTTCAATTATCCAGGAAATTTCTCAAGTGAAACAACAATCAAGCACATGTCAACAAGGGCACCCTACTTCAAGATATCTCTTCAAAATTCTCTAGTTCCTGCTGCTATCTACATAATCTGTCAGTTTCATATTTTTCCATTTGTTAACCAAGTTCACTCTGTATAACTATTTCAGTTGAGCCATTAATAAATTTATCAGTTCTCCACTCCTGCTTAATACTGTGGCAAAACAGAAATATATTCAAGCACTGTGAAAGCAACTGAAAAATCTAGCAATACACTCTCAGCCCCACATAATGTAGTCCAAGGGATATTCCTGGAAAACAGAAATGATACATGGTGGCTTACTGTCCATATTTTCCATAATTAGCTGGATTGTTAGTAGGGTTGTTCACATTTGCGTGTGGGAGGGAAGGATCAAAAAATTTAAGATGGCAGCTGCAATCCCCCAATCAAAGCCCCACCCCTTTTTTACATGCGGGACATTAAAAAGTGACAGGATTTTTATTGCAGGGTGATAGCAACCTTGTTTTTTACCCCACCTCTGCATAGATGTTAGAGAACTGAGTGTGCACTCTAGAAATAAAGAGGAATTGGGAGAAAGCCATCAACCTCTCCATCTTGTGATAAATGGGTGTTTGTGATTCGCCATGATGACTGTGTAAGCATGTATATAACTTGCTCTTAAAACTCCAAATGAAGTTGAAAGTTACCAGCTACTCTTAGATCCAAACAATTCCTTTCTGCAGTACTGACTTTCACACTTTGGACTGATTAAATTTGCTTATGTGGTTACTCTTATTTTGAGATTGCTGATATTTCCTTATACTGAGAAATTACAAATAGTTTTTAAAATATATTTGGTGTGGAGCATGAAAACTGGAGTCCAATGTCTCCTGTTCAAATGTAAAGGATTTGTGGATCTGTTTATTTCACAATCAGTAAGAAACTGCAATCCAGTTGGAGTTTGTTTATTGATAGTGCTATCAGTTGAATAGCTTTTAAGTTGTCTGGGACTTTTCCAAAGCATCTTTATAAATGATAGTTGCTATGTTTGGGGAGTATTTATTGCTTGTGAAATAGTTGTGTATCCGATTCAGCATTTACAAAACTAAATCTAGTGCTTGTTATTGTGGAACCATATTTCTACATTAGATGTTGCCAGTGAAAAATCATGAACACACTTGTTTAATCTGTTGAGATACATGATAGATGATAGAAGAAAGAAAGAAAGGAAGGAAGGAAGGAAGGAAGGAAGGAAGGAAGGAAGGAAGGAAGAAAAAGAAAGAAAGAAAGAAAGAAAAAGAGAAAGAGAAAGGAAGAAAGAAAGAAAGAAAGAAAGAAAGAAAGAAAGAAAGAAAGAAAGAAAGAAAGAAAGAAAGAAAGAAAGAAAAGAAAATAAATAACTGGGCAACAGTCAAAATATTTGCTATTATTTTTGTTTGATTGTTAAAAAAAATAGTTCACTGTTTTTTTCCTTTCTCCTCATGCTTAGAAAGAATAAGGCTGGGGCACAGTACATACTTACAAATATCTGCTTGGTTTGTCTCTGGTTTAGTGTTTTGGATGAATCTATCCATTGTGATCAATGAACATCATTCGTGATGAAATATGTTATACGAATCAAGCCATTCACAGCCTTATTTATGGAAACAATAGCTTATAATGTGAATGCACCCTTGTAAATAAAGGAATGTTAATATCTGTAAGTAAAACATTTAAAAAAAACCCTTCATAATTATAATCTGAATTCTGAGAGATAAGGGGGGGCACAGCTTAACAAAAGCAAAGGCAAATCATTTAATTTAGAAGAGTTATGGCTTACTTCATGTAAGATGGAATATATAAACAGTTTTGGCTTCTTCTGTTAACCCCTAAAGTGGTTTGATGTATTGGGAGAAGCTGGTCACTGTTTGTAACAGATTGTACGGAGTAGTTTATTCAATCATCTAAGGTTCAAAAAAGCAAAGTATAATTAAATGGGTTTTTTAAAGACCTTCCAAACTATGCAGTTGATTATTAATTTATTAATTTATAAATCTTATAAGCTGCACCATTCAGCCAGCTCTGTGAGGTATACAATTCCATAATATATAACTGTGATTTAAAACCATATAAATAAAATTATATGCACTATAGTAACCTAAAACAAAAACAAAACCATACATTCTAATAACATAAAACCAGGAGCTTGATGTATTGCTTAAGGCACCAGGCTAAATACTAAGAGACTATGAGTTCTGCCTCAGGTATAAAGCCAGTTGGTGACCTTGGGCCAGTCACTTTCTCTCATTCCTAGGAAGCAGGCGATGGCAAACTACTTCTGAAATCTTGTCAAGAAAATACAATTTTACAATGTTTGATACCATAAATTCTTTTATATACTTTAATCTTTAAATCTTTCTGATGCAAGAAATCCTTCTGAACTGCATAGAAAAATAGCTGGGCAGGAGGGAGCAAGAAAGATGTAAGGGGGAGGAAAATGTGCTGACAGGAACCAGAGGTACTAAACCATATGATCCAGTCACCTCAAGGATGTCTGGCCTGGAACAAATGCGAAACCTCTTCAAGACATGCCTGACATCAAAGCAGTTCTCAAAACATTGCACCAAGATGCTATTGGACACTAACTTTCATGCGGGAATACTCAGATCTAGCCTTACTTTTGCTGCAACCACTAATCCCTAGTAAAAGAACCTATCACTTCAACCAGAGTCAAGGATCTTTCTTTCCTCGGGATCTAGTTGGGGCAGATCTGACACATTGACAACTCTGTCCATCTGCCATGAATTGCAGTCTTGATTTTATTTTATATTGGACAATCTTCTAGGTCATTTGAGAATTAGTGAAAATTACAAGGATGATAACAGATTCTGAATGTGAGACAGACCAATTTTTGGTGGTGTCAAGAATGGCTCTTGGGGTAGAGAGAACAACATAGACAAAAATGAAAACAGTGAAAGAAATGAGAGTGAAAAATGATTTCAAGGAGTGAGATTACAAGTCCTGTACAAAATCATTAGAAGATAAATGAATTTCTCAACATGATGAATAAAAAGTAACATAAAGAGAATATGGAAGTTGCTTGGAATAGAATGGAAAGGGATATGTATCAGAGATCATAAAAGCGTATGAAGCTATTTTAATGAGAAGTACGGGAAAGATACTTTTTTTAGATTTTTTATTGTGCATTATTTTTATAAATAACTCAAAGTGGCACACATACGTAATACTCCTTCCTCCTCCTATTTTCTTCACAATAACTCTGGGAGTTGGGCTGAGAGCCACGCTGCTGGCTTTCATTCCAAAATCAGAATTAGAACTGACAGTCTCTTGGTTTTTAGCCTGGGGTCTTAACCACTCTAGGCCAACCTGGCTCTTGGTGTTTGCTGGAATGATGGAGTGAATGGAGTATGTTGAATAAAAATAATGATCCTGTTCCCTTGAGACACATGTTGTGTGTATGACCTGTCCTGAACTCATCCAATTGCCCATGCTGCAGCTTCACCCAGAAGCCTCACAAAGCTGGTCCAAAATGACTACTAGTTTGAGTTACGATTTATTTTCTGATCCTCATGTAATCTGTCAGTGACTCAGCCTACCACTGAAGGGAAAAAATATATAGTGCTACATTACTTCTTCATCTTAAGGGCTGATTTTGCACAATATTAGCAAGGAAAACAATTTCCTCTAGAAAAACCACCCTAGGAAATCTAGGGTTTTTTTTTTTTTTTTAGTTTACACCCAGCAGGGAGAACAAATGAGAACAACTTCTTATCAACAGAGCAATAGAGTAATAGAATGTCATGCAGGTATAAAAGTCCCCCCCCCAAAGGCTGGAGATTATTACTGTCAATGCTTATGCATGTGGTAATTCCTATAGTATTTCTCTCTTGCCATGTATTTCCTGGGTATTAAGTCAGCAGAGGCAAAGAGTGCCAGACAGTGTGGTCCAATCCAGAGGAGTCCCAAATTCAAGATGGTGAATGCAACTATATGATTGAAGTTTCACCCTCTTTTTACACCTCTCATAACACATCCTAAAAGGGGGCAGGGCTTCAATCATGCAGTCACAACCACCATCTTGACAAATTTTACCTTCTGCCTTTGGTACAGTGGGAGGGGAATTAGGGGGTATTTCAGTACCTGAGCTTTTGGGAAGATCACACAGTTGTTGAGGCCAATGAATTTTTTAAAACTTAGTTTAGTTATTCCCTTATTTCACATAATTAACAAAGTTTCCTGTTTAGAGAAGATATATTTTTCCACCAAACTAATTTACAAAAGTAAAATGAATGGCCTTGTGTACTCAGTGCTGTCTTGGTTTCATATAAAATATATAACATAGTTAATAGATATCAATAAGCTTCCCTTATTTTTTGGTATTTTTTATTATCTCGTGGAGCCACATTACTAGCTGTTCAGGGCCACATGCGGCTTGTGGTCTGCAGGCTGGATATGCCAAGAAAGTGCTCAAGTCAAATTCTTATCCAAAAGTATTTTCTTTTCAAAATCTTATGTTTCACTCTGTTCAGAACTCCAAAGAAAAATCCAAGGCTTCCTTGTCTGTGACTAAAAGCTGCTTCTGCTTTTCTCCCAATATCATGTCTATCTGGCACCACAAATCATAAGGAATGGAGCAAAATTTTCAATAACCAGCAAGGAAGAGACCAACCTGCAGTAGCTGAAAGTATTATTTTACCTTCATCATGAAATTGCTGTTTTTGCAAGACCTGTTTATCTACTGTTGCCTTAACCATTGTTCACTTGTTTTTGATTTTATATTGCATACTGAACCACAAACTAGGAAACCACATTAGCTTAGCATGTTGAGCAAATCCAGTCCACCTAGTAATTTATAATTCAAGTGTGTTGTGTGAATAGAAAAAAAGTGGAATGAACCATGATTAATTTAACCATGGATAAGTGGTATGTGAATATACAGTAGTCCACAAGATAGATCTGACTAGCATGCTAGGTTCAAATGCAGCTAGCCAGTTTGGGGATCAGAATATATCCTGTAAACCTACCTGATCTCAAACTGGTTTGAAACCTTTGCATAGGTTGCTTCTGTTGCCAAGCCCATTGGTTGATGGAAATGTTGCTCAGACAAGGAAATGCATTGTAGGAAAAGATATTTCATTAGTCTGTCATTATGCAAGGCCAATTTATGATTACTCTTGCAGAGAACTGAAATTCAATCTGC